TGGAATTCGTGAATTGGTCTCTCGTGATTGGTGATCTTGATCTTTTTCTTGATAAATTGTGTTTGCATTGTTTGTTCCGAAGGTGAGCCCGGAAGACAAGAGTACTTTGGGCCTCGATTGAAATCACATAGTCCTCTTACACTGGTGTGTATCTGCACATAACCTTGCAAGCTTGCACTGAACTGGATTACTTTTTGCACTTTTATATTCTACGTAGAGCTCCTGCTGGTTATTCGGTTGATGGTATGGTGCTATTGAACTTAAGCTTTAGTCCCACTCATGTTCACCTGCGTTTGAATGTATCTCATGGATTTGATCATTAATTGTGGTAGTAGTCCTGCAACCCAACTAATGAAGTCTAACAAAAGACTCATGTGGGCGGATCCGGAGCATTTTCATTCCCAACGTTCAGGCGTCGTCATGATCGAGTGGTGTATTTTGTTTGTGGAGACGATCAGTTTCTGAATGACGACCGTCCCAGTAACATTGATATCTCTAACCAAGCCCGATGGTTGGCTACTCCCCGCGCATAGCCAGAATATGGAGGGTAGATCTCTCAATCACCTAGCACCAATCGCTCGGAGTGCTTTTCTACAAGAGGGAGAATCTCAGAGAGTCGATTTGGATCTCTCAAGAAAGCCGGAATATCGTCTCTGGTTGCTGCTAGCATCTGTAGATTGTTGTCAGATCAAACATACATCCACGTTCATCCAATCAGCAGACCTACCTGTCGAACTTTCTCATATTCACACTCCTTTGAGAGATATTCCCGAATAACTTCACCTGTCGCAAAGTCCACATAGACTCGAGTGTCACGGAGTCGAATCAAGACGTGGTCAAGCCTCATGAAGAATCTGGTCAATAAAAGGAGTCTTCCTGGCATGACTCGGATCTTGCAAGACAGCATGGTAATCCCATTGTCCGCCAACTCGTCTTCATAGAGAACAACCTCATCAAAAAATAGGATGGGGTCTGGGCGTTTCAATAGTTCAATCGGAATGGGTTTCGTCGTGGGCTCGAATGGCCGCGCATTAGGATGGAGGGTGCCCTTGTAGTCGGTGCTATATGACCAATCGAACGGCTTCACGACTTCTTTAATCCCTTCATGGGTTTTCTCTCTGGATACCCGGTCATTAGTCGCAATGATAGATTAAGTGCAAGCTAGGGGCTGCGAAAATACCTGCTCTTTTGCCATTCTCCCGAGTACGCGACCTGGAGCATGGATTGACCAGTCTTGTCCACCAAGTCCAAGGCGTCAAACGCATTGAAATCGATGCCCCAATTACTCTTCTCATGCTCTATTGCAACATAATTATCACCAAAAATCATTTCCGGGGGTGCAATGCCGAGTTTCTGGGTCATTTCTTCGATCGGGTCGGCTTTAAGAATGGGCAGCTTCTGTGTTGAGATTCGAAACCCGTTGATGGTGATCGATTTGGGTTTCTTCGCCTCCGGGGAGACTGTGGCACATATTGTTGCCATGGTTAGAGCTTGACAAGAACAAGAGATCAAGACCAGCTGAGGACCTCCAGGGCTATGTATAAATGTCCACAGGTTTGCGATCGGAACTGATAGCGATAACCCCACGGACGGAGAAAGAGGCGGTCCGACCCTGCAACGGCAGAATAGTTAATGGCTCAAGAGGCTTTGATTTGATATTGACAGTCGATGGGTCTGTCCTTTTCAACTTTTTTTTTTCTTTCTGGTAAATTTATGTCCCATTTAATTCAAAATATTCACTTAGCATAGAATGTAGTCATCTCGAGCTGTAAATACAATATACTCTTTGGGTATATTATTGGCACGGAGGATATACATAGGCGCCGAGAGCGGAGAGAATGGCGGTGTGATAGGGTACACATATTACATCAGCCGGGCGTTGCTGGGGTGACGATCTGGAGATCGCCCAAACACCCATGCTTCTGTTTCTCTCTCCATCTTTGTGGTATTCCCCCATCGAACGACTGACCCCGTGGAAAATGATCATGATTGCACTGGAGTAAACATAAACTCAGATTTGGATACTTTCTATACGATTCCCTTTCTTCCCATCCCTATTTTCGCCTCTCATTAGTCCCATACACCGTCTCACCATGGCGACGACCAAAACGCTCGAAGCTCGGTTTGAGCATCTGTCTATGAAAGATGAAAAGGAAAATGGAAACAATGATCGAACCTATGGCAAGCAAAAGGTACTTCACTCAATGCTATCTGGTTGGAGATCTACCTTGCTGATCTGACTTACCAAGGCCCCGGTCTCTTCAACCCAGTCAAACAGCAATTCGAATCGAGCTCAACTACTGAAATTGGCTCTTCAAAATAATAATGAAAATAAGGCAAATGCCATGAATCTTCCAGCCTCGCCAGGTAGGGGATCCCATGGCGCATTGGTGACCCGAAGCACCGATGAAAACGGTGACCAGCGCACATCTTCTTCCCTCTGCGAGCAGCCAACTGTCCCCAAGGAACTGCACTTGGGAATGTTTGAAATCGGTAAACCATTGGGCAAGGGCAAGTTTGGGCGTGTTTATCTTGCCAAAGAACGTTCCTCTGGCTTCGTCTGTGCACTGAAGGTGCTGCACAAGTCTGAGCTGCAACAGGGTGGTGTCCAGAAGCAAGTCAGGCGTGAAATCGAGATTCAGAGTAACCTACGTCACCCTAATGTCTTGAGGCTCTATGGTCACTTCCATGACAGCAAACGAATCTTTTTGATTCTCGAGTTTGCTGGCCGTGGTGAGCTGTACAAGCACCTTCGCAAGGAGCATCGGTTCCCGGAATGGAAGGCCGCCCAATATATTGCGCAGATGGCTGCAGCATTAAAATACCTACATAAAAAGCACGTCATGCACCGTGATATCAAGCCCGAGAACATCCTTGTTGGCATTCATGGAGAGATCAAAATCAGTGATTTCGGCTGGAGCGTCCACGCCCCCAACAACCGACGCCAAACGATGTGTGGAACTCTCGATTACTTGCCCCCAGAGATGCTCAATCATGGTTCCAAGGACAACTACTACAGCGAGAAGGTGGACTTATGGAGTCTAGGTGTCTTGACTTATGAGTTTTTGGTCGGCGAGGCTCCGTTCGAGGATACCCCTGTCATGACACAACGTCGGATTACCAGAGCAGATATGTCTGTCCCATCCTTCGTGAGCCCGGAGGCGAAGGATCTTATCAAGAAGGTGTGCTTATTTCTCTGCCAATATACAAGGCCGCTTGCTCACATAATATCTAGCTTCTTGTTCTTGATCCCGCGAAGAGAATCCCGCTCGAGGAGATCCAACGTCATCCTTGGATTGTCAAGCACTGTGAGAAAGACGATCGAACTGTGAAGCGAAGCTCAGGTTCTTCCAAGGAGGGCAAAGCATGAACCATGACTTGTCCCTTGCATTACAGAGTTTCTGGGAGTTCTGGTTATCGTTTCTTTTCATGTTTCTCATGTGGAGTTTTGGTGTTCTGAGCCTGCAAGCATTTTCACGGCGTGTTGGGTTTGTCTTGGGAGTTAAGCCGGAGAGGTACTCGCGATATGGCGATATTTTGATCTTAATTTTATTTCGCCTCCGACGTGTTCAATACAACATGATACATCCAAACAACTCGACAAATAGGCACAGCTAGCTGTGATCTCTGGCATATTTTTCACTTATCACCAGAACGTAGGGCAGAGAGTAGTACAGGACTAGACCTGTAGGTTGTGTTCCCGGAATTCAGTGACAACCACTATCATAGACTATATGTTTTGATCTCATCTCACCTCTGGTGCCCTCAATCGGACGATATATAGCTGCGTCGATTTTTGCTCGTATAAAATCCCAAAAAAAATCGAGTAGATAGGCGAAAAGGTTTCCGTCGCTAGTGAAACCCATAAAATATAGTACATCCAAACAATATCTATCATACAAAAGGGTGGAGAATGTGTAGTACAACGCTACGGTTGTGGTATCATCGGTATATCTCATCAAATGGGCGTGTGTCCCTGAAACAGCTGTCCCAGACTTCATTGACGACCCTTGTGGCATGGGCTTCGTCTTTGCAAGTCGGTCGTGCTCGCACAGAGAGGATGGCTCTCCGTCGGACACACTCTTGGTGCTGTTGTGTAAGCTTCCACTGCCCTCTTCGGAAGAATTCGCGTGCCCATCTGCACTCGCCGCTGAGCGAACTAGCCCGAATCTAGAGGGGATTTAGCGAACATTGACCTATCAAAACGACAAAAATAAAACATACCTCGGTACACGCCGCGTGCCGCAAATTATCAGACCAATTCACCTTGAACCTGAGGTGGTCAAATGCATGAACCATCTCATGGGCCATGGTATCTTCGAGGTGTCCCTGGTCCTTCATCTCATTTGCGCAGATCAAGATTCCATATTCCGGATCGAAGCCACCGCCCTTTCGATCCGTGCAGCGACGACAGTAGATATTATGACTGTGAAGATCGCCTCCTAATTGTTGAATGCTTTCGCTGAGGAATCGAATTGTAGGACCTTCATAAATTGACCTTGTCAGTATCCGGCTCAGATAACTCTTGGACGAGTGACTCACTATATTGAAGAAGATAATCTCGCTGATCCTCACATCGCTTGCAGTCCGCTTCTTCATTGCGAGTGTCTCGCGCGACACGGAACTTTTCGACTCCTTCGTTGGACATCTTGCCCGTGAGGATGGAATAGATATTGCGGAATTGGGTCCAGGTGTCATCACCGGGTAGGAAGCCTGTAGTATCGGGCTTCACATTTGAAGGTGCAGTCGCACCTGGCGACTGGGAGTTTGTCATTTTCGATCGTAGAGTGTCGAGATTCATGCATCACTACGCGCGATAAAGCGAGATCCTCCGCAAATGGCGGTAGTGACTGGCAGAATCAGCGCCGGAATCAGGCAAAAAGTGCTCTTCCGCGATTCATCGCGGGGCAGTGAACAGAACAGGCCGTTTTATATTCTTCTCGTTTGTTTCTTTATTTTTTTTCGTTGCTAGGAGATTTCTTTGGGCTAGCACTCGCGTCATGGCGACCTCAACAGGTCTCACAATTGTGATCAAATTAGGTGCGTGGATCTATATCTACTGATGACTCGTGTGTTGACCACTCGATATAATAGGAACGAGTTCGATTGTTGACGAGAAAACCCACGAGCCGATTCTTTCTATCTTGACATTGATCGTGGAAACGGTAACCAAGCTACACAGAGATGGCCACCGGGTCGTCCTTGTATCATCTGGTGCCGTGGGCGTTGGTCTGCGAAGGATGAATGTGGACGAAAGACCGACATATCTGCCCCGTATACAAGTATGTCTTCAATTCTACAGAAACCGAAGCCCACACAACATATCCAGTGGAAAATTTGCTAATGAAGTCTATAGGCTCTCGCTGCAGTTGGCCAATGTCGACTGATGAGTCTTTGGGATAATCTATTCTCGCATCTTCGTGTCCCTGTGGCTCAGATTCTTTTGACGAGAAATGATATTGCTGATGTATGTACTCTTATATCTGCTCCAGACTGTTTCTCCACTGACACTCAATACAGAGAACCCAGTATGTTAACGCGCAAAATACATTTGGTCAATTATTTGATATGGGAGTGATTCCCATTGTCAACGAAAATGATACCCTGGCCGTTTCTGTAAGGAAATTTCCCTTCAAGGGTGAATCACTTATCTGACCCATGCCAGGAAATTAAATTTGGCGACAACGATACCCTTTCTGCAATTACAGCGGCTATGGTCAAGGCTGACTATCTGTTTTTGATGACCGATGTCGATTGTCTTTATTCAGCAAATCCCAGAACCAACCCAGACGCAAAACCCATTGAGGTGGTGACCGATATCTCCTCTCTCGAGGCTGACGTCTCGTCCGCAGGCTCCTCCCTTGGCACTGGAGGCATGAGCACGAAGATTGTGGCTGCAAAGCTTGGAACCAGTGCTGGTGTCACGACAGTCATCACCAAGAGCTCAAAGCCAGGCAACGTTCACGACATTGTGAAGTACCTACAATATCTCGAGGCTCGGTCCAATGGCGTAGCAACTGACGACCAAAACGAGCCACCCACTGCCCCTCTCCACACCCGATTCATCCGTTCGGATACCCCGATTCAGTCACGGACATTCTGGTTACTCCATGGACTATACCCCCATGGTACATTATACATCGATCACGGAGCATACCACGCACTTTTGAATAATGCCAACCTTCTCCCGGCTGGAGTGGTTGGGGTTGAAGGCCATTTTGGACAGCAGGAATCTGTGCGGCTAGTAGTTGTTGATCGGCCATCGCCAGATGCCTTGAACGGGGACTTTATCCACCACAGAGAGGAACCCAAGGAGGTCGGTCGGGCTCTGGTGAACTACGGAAGCATTGAAATCACACACATCAAAGGCCACCGCAGCACACAGATTGAGACGCTACTTGGCTATGCCGATAGCTACTATGTGGCGATGCGAGAGAACATCTCGTTTCACGAGGACCACAATCACACGGTGACACCGACATTAACACCGGCCTTGGAGGAATGGAAGTCGCCTTGAGGCATAATGTTGGATCCTCCATTATACGCATATTACGAACGAAAACGAAAAACGTCTTGCATTCAACTGCACTGGATAGTTGGGATTCCCACTCAACCCTTGATCGTTTCAATATAACAGTTGCTCGGGATATATATGCCAACAAACAAAACAGCCCAAAAAAAGAGACATCTTAGTGGTAAATAAAACCCCCAAAAGTATGACCTCCAAGGCGTAAATGAAATCACTAGGAATTGGATGCTTCCACACCAACTCAAGCGCCATGTAAAGATATCTGAGAAAATAAAAATGAGATGCTCGAAACCCTATCAATCATTCCAACGATCCAACCAGTTTTGCATTCTCTTGTCTAATGTAGGCGCAGGAGCGGGCGCAGCCTGAACAAAAACAAACATATTAGCTTTCAATATCAACCGAAATCATGCATTCATACATCAAACTCACTGTATTCTCGATGCTGTTCGCTGTCCATGTTGCAAAAGCCGTATCCGTGTACTGGACGGTTGGCACACCGAGGTAGGTAGTGGCAATGGAGAACGGGAAAGGTGGATACTGAGGAGTGGCCGATCTGGTTGCGATAGTACTCCCAGCGCTCTTGGGCATCGGGGCATATTTGATCGAGCCAGTCTGTTCGCCATATGGGACAGTATGCTGGTCAATTGCAGCAACGACACCAACGCCAACGTCACCGACAGCAGCCACCTGTCTTTTACGCAATTCATTGCGCTCGGCTTCGTCTTTGACGGTTGGGAACTGTAAGACCTTTTTGGTTGAGGAACTCTTGGTGAGACTCGAGAGATTGGAAGTTGAGGTGATTTCTGCGGCCTCGATGAGGTGATCATCGTCTTCAGCCGTAGGCCAGGGAATAGCGATGGCAGCAATCGGCTGCATTTTCTTGGTCGCGTCTGTTACTTTGGTCGAGAAGGTACCTTTCATGTTGGTCAAAGTGAAATGGGAAGTGAACCCGGACCAGTGATTATGAGGGCCTGATAGAGCTATCTTGAGGAAACTGATTGAAACCGGGGGACATTGGTCAGTCACAGAAAGGGAATTGATGAAGCTGCTGATGCTAGGGGGGATGGTCTCACTATGCATTGGGGTCGTTTCCACCGACGCTTTGGTCGACTTGAAATGAGACCATATCACCAGAAGCATAGGCACCATTGCTGATGACTTGTGATAGAGTGTCCTGAACATATGGTTAACTCTATGTTTCCGTTATAGCACAGAGAGAAACATACATATGAACCTGTCGTCTCGTCACCGGCACAGAGATAAAAATCATAAGTTGAAGCTGGATCACTGTCCATGCCCCAAAGCAGACTCACGGCAGCTGCCCCATCGAAACTCATATCATCTGTTGTGATCTGAGAACCGATCTGGCCATAGGCGGCCGTAAATAACAAGGAAACCTGAAGCAATTGAACTCGCATACTGATATGATTGAGAAACATGAGTTTCTAGAGAACAGAGAGTGATCTCCCATCCAAGAGAGATGGAAATCATCCCTTCATAAGGGTTTGGTATGTGCATAATTTGCATCATTCCTAAGCCCTTGGTCCCCTGGAGGAATTATATAGAAACGTGTGTGATGTGCACTAAGATAAGGGGAGTGGTCCGTGCTATCCTTCTGTTCTCCTGTCAAAGTGTTGGCCCACCACTTTCGACACTCACAACCATGTCGTCTCAAGCAAACTGGAACTCAGTGACTGGCATTGCCACACTGCTGTTTGATGGCAACCTTGTTGCCATTGCTATTGCCATCCTCTTCACCTTTGGTGTCCCGATCGCACTGCACATCTTCTTCTTCCAGGCCGTAGCTTCTCCGCCCTCGAGTAATTTCCTCCTCCTAGGCCCCAGTGGAGCTGGAAAAACTGCTTTTACAACCTTGGTAAGCTCTTCAGGACATGACAGAGTCGATACCTTTCTAACCAATCTATAGCTCGAGACCAAGTCCTCACTCGCTTCGAACAAGTCGCACAGCACCCACACCTCCCAACAATCAACCTTAGTAACCGTGACCTTACCACCCACTGTCCCAACCGGATCCAACCGCTACCGATCGGACAATGACCCTTCCTTGAAGGAGGCCATCCGGAATCCAATCAAGTACCGCGTAAGGGATACCCCTGGCCATGGCAAGCTCCGCGTCTCGCAAGGGATCTCCGAACTCCAGACGATGTCCCAGTCAAAAGACATCAAGACAAGGCTACGCGGCGTGGTGTTCATGGTCGATACCGCTGCTCTAGTTGACGAAGCGACGCTCCGTGACACCGCGACCTATCTGCACGACGTTCTTCTCTTTCTACAGAAGCGCGCAAAGAACGGGTCATCGAGCAAGCGGACCACTGATGTCCCTGTCTTAGTCGCCGCGAACAAGCAGGATCTATTCACTGCACTGCCACCAGGCGCGGTGAAAGAGAAGTTGGAGGCGGAGATTGATCGCATCCGCAAGTCGAAGACCAAGGGTCTTCTGGATGCAAGTGCGGATATTGGGTTGGAAGACGAAGAGGAGATTTTGGGCAATGATGAACAAGAGACTTTCAGCTTCAAGCTCCTGGAGCACGAGGTCGGAGTCAAGGTTGATGTGATTGGTGGTGCTGTCAAGGGTGACTTGCAAGAAGAGTTCGGATCTGGAGTGCGCCGCTGGGAGGAGTGGGTTGGTATGTGCTTGTGAGCGCTACGAGTTTTTGCTTTCTTGTCTTGATGGTCCGAAATAGTAAATAGGTGGTCCTATCAATAGTTTGCTTGTATATGTTATGCCAGAAGAAGAAGAAAAGATTGCACCAAGGGTTTTGAGAGACTACAATGTGGTGTTCTATTAATATTGCCAATCCAATCCCAGTGTCTCTGTAGCTTGTGCATCAATCCAATCCTGTATGGTTAGAAATGATAGAAACATAATGGCGTGAAAGAAAACATAGTACTCACCCACAGATCTCGAGCAAGCTTCATATCTCCAGATATCGCATTGGACTCACACAGCGTAGCGATAGGTACAAAATACTCACCACGATGGTTCTGCTCTCGTACTTCATGACTAGCAGCAAGATATAAAGCTGTAGCGGCTCCATCCTCCAGACTCTGGCCCAACCACGATCCTACCGTTCTTATAACCCAACCTATGAAACCCCCAAAATAAGAATTCCACCGGCGCCATTGATCGGTAACGATATTGCCCGGGAAGAACGAATTGACATAGATCTGCTTGATCGCTGGATCTTGATCCTCTAGAAGCCGCCGACTGAGCTCTTTGGCAAAGAGGATGTTACCCAGCTTTGACCGGCCATAGCGCCATACTCCATCGTACAGCGCGGGCCACTTGACGCGTGACGATGAGAACAGAAGATCCAGATCAGGCTGTTGGCACCAAAAATGGAATGATGAGCTGGTCACCGCAATTCGTACGTCGCTGCTAGGCGTCACCCCTTTCTTCAACAGAGGTAAGAGTGATGTGGCTAGGACTTGGTGTCCGACGCAGTTTGTCGCGAATACACGCTCAATATTCTGGGGGGAGCACTTGCATTCATTTTGAACGCTGATGGCTTCATTTTAGGGAGGTGTGTTAATACGTAATGATTCAGATGAAATGGAGAGATGGAGCTCACCTGCATTGCAAACCAGTATATGAATCCGGTCTGTGAATTGTTTGATCGTCTCAACTGCGGCCTTGACATCCTGAATATCCCCCAGATCGCATTTGACAAACTCAGCTCGAGTGTCATTCTCGAGTAAGATGCCTTCGCGGTGTCTCCATTCCTCGCGAGCAGTGATGTATCTGTCTTCACTTCTGGCAATGATGATCACTTTCTCGATGCCATGTAAGAGAAGCTGGGCGGTAATCTCTGTATTTACTATTATACTCTGCCGGATATTATTCAGTTGGTTTGAGGTCAGGGGTTCTGCTTGCCTTTGCCGATGCCTGCTTGTCCACCCTGAGAAATTAGCTGGGTCGAGATATAATGAGAGAAACTCACCGTCACCACAGCCACTCGTCCGGAGAAGTTTCGATATGTAAAGATTCCTGTCATCTCGGCTTGGGGCAAAGTCGAGAGGATTCCCAAGTGAAGTTTGGCACATATATCTGAAATCGACGTCATCGCCACCTAACCCTGAACAGATCTGAAAAAGTACCACATATAATTGTTTTTTTTCTATGGTATGTATTAAGTATGTATCACATTCAACGCCTTTGCGCTGCACGATCTAGGTATTTCATTCCCACAATGTGTTGAATCCCATTGGGGAAGCCTTCATGCCAACGCAGGAGAAACGCCTATCCCAAAATATCAAAGAATGTTCAGGAATGTTGAACCCCTACCCAACAAGCAATGTCTCATGCGAATGCATTTCAGGAAAGAAAATAAAACCATTTTAGGCCTTGTTCGCCTTGGACTGGTGCAGCATCCAAGTGAGCAGATCGACCTTGGTAACGATGGCCAATGGCTTCATCGCACCACTTGCATCCTTCTCGGTCACAACTGCGGCGCTGTTCCACTCGAAGAAGCGGTTCAGGACACTGAGAGGGGTATCCATGGTGATCTCGATGAAGCCGCGACTCCGGGTCTGGGGCTTGAGGGAGTCCATTCCCTTGGAGAGATCACGGGGGTCGGTGACCACCTCGGAGATTTTAGAGAAGTCAAACATGACATCGGAGACGGGGCTCTGGCCAGAGGCCCGGCCGTGTGTCAGTCGGCTGAGAACGTTGCCTAGCGTAACGAGACCGACGAGCTTGCGCCCAGAGGGAGCAAGGACGGGAAGCTGGTCGAAACCTCGGTCGCGCATCACCTCGATGGCAGTCTCGCAAGGGGAGTTGGCTGTCACGGTGGTGATGGGCTTCAAGCGCAAGGCGCTAACCTTGGCGTTGGCCAGAGGGTTAGACTCGGGCTCCTGGGTTTGAGTGGTCGATGCAACGGCGGGAAGCGACGGGAGCAGATCGTTGGCGGCGAGCCAGTCGTCATCAGCGAACTTGAATCGGTTAGCTTGAATGCAAAATAAAAGAAAATCAAAGACTTGATCCTACCTTGGAGAGGTAACTTCTGATGCTGTCGGGAAGAATCACAACGACGACATCGTCCTTAGAGAACTTCTTGGCCTCATTAGCCTTGACCAGAGCGGCAATGGCACTGCCACTGCTACCGCCGACCAGCAGACCCTCCTCGGCGATCAGACGGCGGGAGTACTTGAAAGACTCCTTATCTTCGGTCTTGATCCATTGGGTCACGGCATCTTGGTCCAAAACCTCGGGGATGAAATCATATCCAATACCTTCGACCTTGTAAGGCTCATTGGCACGAGCTTCATTGAGGGAGGGAGGCAGAGCGAGAATAGAACCAAAGGGATCAGCGGCGATCACGTTGATATCGGGGTTGTGCTTTCGCAGACCACGGGCAAGACCGGTGATCGTACCGCCGGTTCCGGCACCAGCGACAATGGCACTGATTTTGCCGTTGGTCTGGGTCCAGATCTCCTCGGCAGTGCCAAGCTCGTGTGCCAATGGGTTGTTGGGATTCTCGTACTGATCCAAGATATGGGCGTTGGGCAATTCCTTCTCGAGACGTCTGGCCACGCCGATATGTGACTCGGGAGAGTCAAAGGCAGCTTCATTGGGGGTTCGGATGATAGTCGCGTTCAAGGCACGCAAAACGGCGACTTTCTCGGCGGACATCTTCTCTGGGAGAGTGATGATGGTCTTGTAGCCTAGAGAAAAATAGAAATAAATTAGGACGGATCAGACAAGCAAAGCTTAGACAATAAAAACATACCCTTGACAGCACCAACCAGTGCCAGACCAATACCACTAATGGATCTCAATTAGCATCCGTACTTATGAAGAAAAAAAGAAAAGAAAAAAAGAACCTACGTGTTGCCACTGGTAGGCTCGATGAGAGTATCACCAGGCTTGATGCGACCAGATCGCTCAGCCTCTTCAATCATACGAAGGGCAATGCGATCCTTGACACTGCCACCGGCATTAAAATATTCCAACTTGGCGTAGACGGTAGCATCGATTCCCAAGGTGCGGGGCAGACGGTTTAATCGCACAAGGGGTGTGTTACCGATCTGCTGGGTAATAGTGTCCAAAGTGACCGGCGGATTGCCGGGAGTTGTAATAGAAGCCATGTGTGAATTGTTAGAGAGAGTAGTAGTAGTAAAGAGGAAGTTGGAAAGTCGAAGATTTCGACTTTTTGCGCCCCGCCCGATGATAACCGGCTTTTTTCTTTTGGTGGGCCCAGATCTATGGACTTTTGTTTAGGGGATACAGTTAACTATAGTTAGAGTGATAGTTATATAGTTATATAGTTATAGAGTTATAGAGATCAATCCAGTATGATTTTAAATGTGGCTTCGTTCTTTGACGTATACACTGCTGACTGCTACTTCTATAAGTAATAGGACATTTTCCATAGTTGGCCAATAATCCTGTCAAAGATCAAGCTCAAGCTCATATTGCCTTATGGAGTACTCCTGAATACTCAACCCCAAAGGTGGCTGTGCAGGAAATATTTCTCTACACAAAATTGTTTCATCGAGAGACAATACCCAGAAAAAAATACGGGCGTCGATTCAGCTGCGTACTCTTTCACCCTTTCTGTCCAAGTGACGTAGCAACGGGATACATATATAGTACTACTATATGGCATGAATATGAAAAGATATGTGAATATGCCAAGACCTAGACCCCTTCGGAATATATGCGAGAGCTGATTGGCTATATCATGTGCCAGCACATCCTTGTTTTTAATTGCCTCCTTTATATATTTATACTCTACACTCCCCGTATAGTATTATTTTCCCCCTTGTTTTTTTTCTTTCTTTCAGCGCTTATAGTCTATTTTGCGTTCTTCTTTTGGTCTTTGTATCTACTTTACCCCAATCCTCCAATCTATAGTTATTTAAAAATGGGCTCAATCAGATCAAATTCACAGAACGACCTCCGTCTCCGGGGAAATGGTGACCAGCCGACGGTCCAGGAGAAGCGCTCACAGAACTCGATATTGCCCACCAACTCCACCACTTCCAAGCGAGCATGGGCCTTATTTCGCGTGGACACAGCTGGAGAGAGCGGTCGAACCGGTATTCACCCATGGCATCTCCTCAAGGTATGCTTTAGGAGTGTCTGTACGCTTTCGATGGTCGTGAATATCCTCTGGCCATTTGTCCCCGCCGCAATTGTCGTCCATTTCGCACGACCCGATCTTCACGTCTGGATCTTCAGTCTCAACTACATCGCCATGGTGCCCTCGGCAAACCTACTCGGTTTTGCGGGTGGAGAGCTAGCCAAAAAGTTACCAAAGATGATAGGCATCGTGGTTGAAACAACGTTGGGCTCTGTGGTGGAACTCGTGCTGTTCATGGTTTTGTTGTATAACCATGGCCGGACCGAACACTCGGATTTGATTCCTGTCATCCAGGCCGCCATTCTCGGTTCCATCATGGCAAATCTCCTGCTCTGCTTGGGCATGTGTTTCTTTGTCGGCGGTATCAAGCGTCACGAGCAGAGCTTCCACGAAGCCATCAGTGAAGTCGGTACCGGGTTACTCCTTGTCGCGGGTTTCGGTCTGCTGATTCCAAGTGCGTTTTACTCCGCGCTGCGTGGAAGCGTCAATGATCATTTCACTCTGGTGGAGTTGAACGAATATGCCTTGACGATTAGCCGTGCTAGTGCGGTGATCCTTCTCGTAGCATTTTTGACGTGAGTTGGCCCTAGGCTCTTGCCTATAATCCTACTAACACTATGTGATAGATATCTTTTTTTCAACCTACATAGCCACAACTCCATTTTCGATGATATCCTAGAGAAAGACGAACACCATGACGAAGACCGACACGAAGAAGCTGCGAGAGCAAAGCTCACAATGATAGAATGTTTCGTGGTCATCGCCTTTGCCCTGACCTGCGTCTGCATGTCCGCCGTCTTCCTAGTCCAAGAAATCGAGTACATCGTGGAGCGCGGCGTCTCGGACAATTTCCTCGGTTTGATTCTCGTCCCTCTGGTAGAAAAGGCAGCCGAGCACCTCACGGCCATCGACGAAGCCTGGGACAACCAGATCAACTTTGCACTCTTTCATTGCCTGGCCCCTTCGATCCAAACTGCACTGCTGAATGCACCGCTCACTGTCATTGTGGGTTGGGGCATGGGCAAGGATATGAGCTTGAACTTTGAGATCTTCATGGTTGTTCTCCTTGTGCTCTCGATTCTGGTCGTTGGGAATTTCTTGCGTGATGGCAAGTCCAATTACCTTGAAGGTGCTCTTTGTGTGCTGGTTTACTTCATCATTGCTGTTTGCACTTGGTACTATCCCCCAGTGCACATTGCCTCGACGAATCAATCTTGAGTGTCGGGTAGTTTTTAAGCGTGTTTAGTTGGCGAATATATTCCATACTGTATAATCATATATCCCTCATGGTGTTTGGAGTTGGATGGGTGGACTAAGTCTCCATGGATGGTTAGAGTAAATAAGTAAATAACTGTCTGAGCATCAGCCAGCACCTAGCTAGTCAGATAAGGCCACATAATGCAATATCACCTCATATGAGACAAAACGCAATATGGTCTGATTGGGTGTTATTCCAGGGTAGTCTGAGGGCGCAAGGCTTCGTTCATCAACATCTGCGCATCAACACGCAGCTCAAAGTCGGCGAGGAAACAAAAGCTGATTTCGAGTTTTGACAATTCCTGTTCACTGACTCCACCGACCTTCGCAACCCGACTATGCGGATAGCTCAAGTCCTCCAGAGCCTTTGAAGCGACCCAAACACCAGCAAGCACAAGCCTGTGCATATTCTTGGGCAAAACCCTTAACACATTCTCGACCAGAGTCATCTTCGATATATACACGCTAGCTGCGAGATAGACCGCCGTAGACATAGGACAGTACCTATGCAAACGAAGCAGATACTCGTTCAATGGAATCGGGGGCACTTTCTTCGACAGGAACTTCTTCGCCAAAATAGCCATTTGAATCGCCTCTTCGGTCGCCCTCACGGGGTCAACAGGGACACTCGAGTCCTTAACATGTAACCCAAC